AAAAAAAAAAAAAGAGTGGCCTTTTTCTAAAAGATACCGTAAAGAAAGTGAAAAGTCACTTGTTAGGGAAATTATTTGAAACATGTGTAACTGACAGGTCTAAGATCAAGAAATCCTTCAATCAAGAGTAAAACCACCATTAGAAACTGGGCAAAAGACTTATATCAAGCTCTTCACATGAAAGGCAATCTAAATAGTCAATAAACACATAAAGAGGTGTTCAACCTTATTAATGATGAAAAATTCAAATTAAAACTACAACGAAATGCCTACCAGATTGACAAAAAAAATTTAAAAGTCTGACAACACCAAATGTTGGCATAGATGAGGAACAGGGGGAACTTCCCTGCACCACTGCTGGGCACATGAAGTGGTACAGCCACTTTGCAGAACAGTGTGGAATTATCCAGTCGAATTGAAGACAGGCGTATTCCATGTCCCAGCAAGCTCACCCTCAGGTGTGTACCTTAGAGAGACTCGTGCTCATCTGCACCGGGACACGTGGGGAAAAAATGTTCATAAAAGCAACGTGGACCACAGTCCAATGTCCTTCAGCACAAGAATGAATAAGTTAAATGCTAGATTCACAGAAAGGACTACTCTACTGCGATGGAAATGAACTAACTAGCCCTATAGGAAACAACATAGCTGCCTCTCACAGCGTGTCCGGCACAGAAGCAAGACACAAAGTAGATGCAGCTGATTTCTCCCTTTATATGAAGTTCAAAGATGGATCAACTACATTACATAACTTAGGGATCAGACATAGGTGGCAAAATTATAAAGAAGAGCAAGGATATGGTTATCAACAAGGTCAGGAGAGTGGCTGCCTCTGAGAGGGAAGGAAGGAAATGATCATTGGCGAGGGACAACCGGAGGACTGCCTAGGGGCCGGCCATGTTCTGTTTCTTAACTCGGTTCTTCGTTTTCTAATTCTTCTTGAAAAATGTACTCTCTGTCTTATGCCCTCTGCTGTAGGTAGGATGCATCTCATAATAAAATGTTTAAAAGGAAGAAAAAAAGAGGAAAGCTGGCAGCTGTTAACACTAGAGACAGAAGTTGAAAGGTCTAAGAAAATATAGTTCTGGCAAGCAAATGGAAACATTGGATCGATTAAAGAGTGAGATGTCATATGTGCCTGTGATGTGAATGATCCCACCATAGGTTTTAGGTAAAAATGAGAAAAATCAATTTGTGCAAGTGTTTCAGCAAGTCTTCCAGCCAGTGTACCAAGATATGCTTATCAGGTGAGATGAATTAGGAAGAGTCTGAAAGAGTCATCTAAAATTTTCAGTTATACTTTGAGAGGAAAATGGTACACCAGGGTGGTGTATTAATGACAGTGATACAAAATGCAGTAACGAATATACACTGTAATCTCACTGGCTAAACACAATAGAATTTAATTTCTCCTTTGCAGCCCCATGGGCAGCAGGAAGGGGAGTAAAGGAGCTTTGCTCCACACAGTCATTCAGGAACTTCCTGGATATC